ACCACTGAGGATAGATCAGCGAAGTGCATCAGTTCGAGTGTGGAGGCACAACAAAATGTCACAAACAAACACATCATAGTCTATTAAAGCTTGCATCTGGCAAGATATCAGCAACAATTCTCCGGAGATTGGACAGGGTTCTGGAAAACTATATGAACTGGTTGGCTTAGCAGTACCATGCTCGAAAGTGTCGTTCATTTGTAACATCCGCCTGATTCACCAATTGTGAGTCAATTGCCGTGTCCTTCGGCGAAAAGGACACCTACCTTTCCAGCAATATTGGTATATCTCGGTAAACTATTTAATATAATCACTAACCTGAAATAAGTAGTCTGGTGGGGATGATTCCGGCTAAAAATGAAGCCGTTGAGGTCACAGTGAGGTCACGATAATTTTGCCCAAGTATAAACACACACACACACACATATATATATATATATACACATATTTATATATAACATTATATATATAATATTATATATATATGTGACGTATATGTGATGTATATAATAAGATATAATAAGCATATGGCCAGAATGGATCAGAATGGTCATGTTGGGATGTTCAATGATGTTGATCCCCCTGAATTTTGGCCTCCTTGGATGGCAGCATGGAGACGGATGGGATGATGTCCAAGCGATCCGGAAAAACCATGTACTGCAGGCCGCCTCAGCAGAAAAACATCCCTGACATGGAGAAAAAAATTGGGGGAATCTATCTGAATCTGAGATATATGTGGAATATGGAAACTGTTTGTTCAAAAGAAATGATAATAGATGGATCATTTCTTCTCCTTTCCAGCACAAGCTACGCGCTTCGTGAGCAAACGGGAAGGTCGACAACCAGTGTAGAAAGTCGCGCAGCCATTGCTTGGTTGTGGCTGTCGGCCTGCCAGTTACATAAAACCATGGGAACAAAATCATGGGAAGGGACAGTGGGACAGTGGTTTTCTATACCCTCTGGCAATTCAACATAGCCATGGGCAAGTACAAGTACCATCAAGTACCCATTTCTTGATGCTTCACCCATCAAAGGGTATACGGTATATGCTATTGCTATTTCCTGCTGTATGTTTTTAACGACAAAGGCCCTAGGTCAAACATCTTGGAGGTATCTACAGGCATGACACCTGGCACTTCTTCAATGCATCGGCTGTGGGGATGACAAAATCGCAGGCGATGCGCATGAAGTCAAAGAAGTCAATGCAAAACCAAGCCCCAAGCAGAACATATTGGCCGATTGGGACGCTGCGCAGAAACTACCAGTTTTGCACAATTTATCGTTTAAAGATGTTTAAAGTGTGAAATCACCATGTGGACGTGTCATCCAAAGCTTAAAGCAACACAGCACAACACAGCGTGTTTTCTGCATTCCCTAGTGGGACGCCGATTGTCCAGAACTATATAGATCTTGTCCAAAGTCGGTCGCTATAAATTTCAAATATCTTCTATAGTTCCTATTGAGATCATGAGTCACCAAGCGCTGCCACGCGTCTTTCCCTTTTCACTTCATCAAGTTCCTTTTCACTTCATCAAGTTCCTTCTGCCCCCCACTCATTGAGATGTGTGTGTTTTGCTTTCTTTTGCCCGCACTGTTTCCACAAAAAACATCAAAAAACTGTGAAGAAAGAGCAATTGACGTGGCCAGGGAATCTACTGTAAGCATGGAGAAAACGAGATCAAAAACGAGATGAAACTGAGATGAAAAAAAGATATTCGAGACCTGCCAGGAGAAAACTCCTGGAAAATACAATCTGAAGGTTGAAATATCTACAGTAGCAGTCCAGCAGTCTAGCAGCAGTTTAGCAGCAGCTAGCAGCACCCATGTCCAAAAGGAGCCAATTTCAGCAGTTGAGAAGGAGCCCAGCTGCAGCCTAGCAGCCGGGCCGCAGCAGCACAGCGGTCTTTGTATCAGCAGTTTGGCAAAAAAAATTGTGAGTCAATTCATGGGACTTCCTTTAGGTTTCCCAGATATATAAGTTGCCTAGAGGACGTGGCTCCGAGCCAAATATGTCCTATAGCGAAGGAACAACATGCCACATCTGCTCCACAACAAATCACAACCTAACTGAGGTAATTAACCATTGCAATACATGAAATCTGAACATACAAAAAAAAATGTACCTGGACGCAGTACGCACTGCCTTTCCCAAAACTTAGACTTACTGCACGTGGACGCTGCAACAAAATACTGTGAGATACTGTGAGGAACGACGAGTCATGACGAATCTGTCAGTCTCTCCATGTCTCTCCGATTATTTTGGGCAGCTCCGATCTTATCTGAGGGCATCAATCTGTCATTCCATGTCATTCCAGCAAACCCCTCGCTAACAAGATCCAACAACATCCAAATGGGTCCAAAAAATATAGGCCCCAGCAATCCCCAGCACACACTTTGGCCCCCTTCTCAACCGAGCGATGCTTGCTTAGGCCTCAATAACATGAGCGATGGCTTTACCAAGTGGGGTGCGTAAAACTCATCCGCCAAGTAGATGTCCTCAACATGGTAAAGGCTTCAAGTTCGACATCATGGTGACATACGGTGACCGCATGGCATGGGTCTTAGATTCGGAGGAAGCTGCCAATTGCGAGAAGGAAACTGTGGGCAGCGTCCGCATACGACTCCGTGCTTGCAACCGACTCCCTTCATTTTGCGGTTTTATTAAGCAGTTCACAACATTTCTGAGCTCTCTCTCTCTCTCTCTCTCCAGCGCCATCAGCAAAGTCCCTCAAGAAATGTTAATTTCTTCATGTTTCTGCCACCGTTTGCCAAGAAACTGGCTCACCCTGTGTAACGCAATAGCGTTGGCACGGCTCCCGGTAGGAGGGCATTTCCAGGCGACCCTCTACTGCTTTTGGCAGCCACAGGAAGGGATTCTGCAGCAGAACCAGGTGGAAGTCAAACCAAAGCACTGGCAGATCCAACCTCAGTAATTAGATGTAATTAGTATAAAATGTACAAAGACAGGCACACCGAGGTGATTGGCTGATGGAGCGGACCAGAGGCAGAATGATGGAGGTCAGTTGGGATGGAAAAGAAAGACAATAAGTTTCCACATGTTTCCACTGTTTCCACCAAGCAAGGGAAATGATCGAAAGCTTAGAAAGATGACAGGACGTTCAAATCAATGTGATTCATGTGATATATTCATCAGCCAATCACCAGCCACTACCGAGTGATATCCAGGATCATCCAGCTCCAGCATCCCCATGTGGCCCATGATGAGTCCCATGGCCATCACGGGCCAATGCCAGGACACTGCAAGGCCAGGTAGAGGTACAAATACCTTGCAGCTGTGAGCTGAAAAGAACTCTGGACCCGGGGATTGTATATCTACCAGCACTTCCAATAAGATCAATAAGGGTGACAAGTGCGAAAGAATCCTTGAAGATTCACTGAAATTCATTGACAAACGTGCCCGCAGCCCTCACTGATTCGCTATCTTCACCTCAAGAGTGCCCAGTTCTTGTTCTGTCATCCACTTCCACTGGTTGGTTCAAAACATTTCCCATACTGGTCACTGGTCATTATAGTCGACCATCATCCACCCAGTTTAATCGTTTCAACCCCAGATTTTCGAGCGCATCCGTGCCCAGACGCTGAGCGCGGAATTGCGACACAAAGGGCAAGCAGGGAGACCATGTCCCCTTCCACGGACTCTCAGTGATCCTCTGCAGAAAGAGCTCCGCGATGGTTTCGCAGCTCTCCGTGACGTTGGGGAGCATGGGCACCTGCAGCCGATGCATTTGATGGGAACCCAGTGAGATTTCCGTGTCAAACAAGGGGATCATGAATTAATCCTAAATCCCTAGAGCTTGATCAATGTGATATAGGAGAATAATTATTGAAGAAATTGATGTGACGAATTGTGCCACTGGATGCTGAAATCGTTCCAGACATTCCAATGGATAGGGAGCTATGGTTGGACGAAGTTGGATGCTGCCCAGCGACTAAGACCAAGGGCGCCAAATAGCCCAAGCGCTCAGCATGTTTGAAGAGATCCAATAGATGACCCACTCGCTGTGCGTACAAACCTACCCATCTTTGCACAGGTTTTAGGGATATTTGAAACACCAAAAATATAGAAAATGGATGAAAATGTGTCAACAAACTAAAAATGGAAAGGAGGTGTGAATTGCAGTGCGATGCATCCCGGCATTCACCAGGTTTCCCTCTTGTGCCTTTTTGTTCAGGGTTGGAGTAGCTTAAGAATTGGTGTTCAGCGTCTTGTATTTTTCAGTTCCGCACATGTCCACTTTGGTGCATCTGCCCAAGTGCTTGGTTGCAAATTCACTACTTCCAGCCAGATCAACAGAACACAACAGAAAAACAGAATACGCTACTGTGGGTGGGAAGAAAAAGTGTTCATAGTTTGGCCCGAAATGCATATTCAATAAAAGAGTCATTTTGGTATCCTGCATTTTTCCATGTTTCCCATGTTTTCAGACGACAGAACCCTTGATTTGGTCAAAAAACCTTCGATCAATACAAGGTGGGACCCCCCTGGATAGCACAGTTTATAACTATATAGGTTGACTATAATGAGGTATTTGTTTTTTGGAGATATAGACAACGGCCATAAACCAACCTAAAGCTGGGGGTTCATACTTTGTTGGAAACCTATTTCATCTTATCTCTATATATCCCATAAATCATATAATATATCATAGTATATATAAGTATAAGTCTTAATGCTACTAAACAAGTCTTTCCATACGCCTCTTCCGCCCCGTCGCACCTGTCATGATCACCACCTTGGGCCCTGCAGAGGCAGCGGCCGCAGCCGCGGTCAGGGACCGCATCGCTTGGTGCCACAGAGTCGAGCGTTGGACGTTTGGAGTGGCCACCTGGTGAAGGGGTCCCGGGGTGGACAGAACATGTCTACAACAGGCAGATATGACAGATATGTCTATTGTTCTCCAACATTCTTGACGAAAACCTGTTTTGACATTTCGGGGGTTCTTTACATGGGGTTTCAATACTAAAATGGTAGAAAATTGTCTAATGACTTAAATTGGATGACTTGGGGTACCCCGTTTTAGGACACCTCCATATATGGTTATGGGTCAAAATTGGGTACCCCAACAATTCGATAGTTATATAAGACTACCAATAGACTAACATGACTAAAATCTTTGGTACCTTGCGTCATAAAATTCAAGCCATACTCATACATAACGATTATATTGTACGTATCGATGGCAATGTTCCTCAACAAAGAACTATGACCATATTATATCCCCAGGATTCATTTGTGGACCACTGGGTTGATGTGTATACACCGTTGCGACGTTGCGATTAAAAAAACAAACAAACATAATATTGCATATTGTCATGGAACCAAGATTGATGAAGAACAACGGCTAATCGTGAGCAATGAATAATGAAGTAAAATTGGCATGCATTTGGTGGATTCCTGAATTGATTTAAACATACTGAGCTGTAGGAAGAAAAATTGAATGAATGTTCCCGCTCTTTGGCCCCCTTTAGAGGCCTCCAAATCGGCTGCTGTCAAGCGAGTGTCGTGCAGGCTGCGTTTCAAAAGGCCTGGCTTGGATTCTGGATGAATTTTGCCCGATCATTTGAAAAATGGACCACCAAAACAAAGGGCCTCCACGTCAAAAATGCCATAAAATATGTCAGCAAAAGCTTGGAATGATCTTCAGAATCAATGGACATCAATGGGCTGGTTTGAGACTTCTCTGAAAGAGCAAATAATTCACCAAATTAAAAATTCTTGAAGATTCCCCCATCCTTACACCAATTCTGGCATAGAAGTCATCCTGGCAACGCATGTTTTGATCCAATGACTTCAGGCTATGGCGGCTATGGCGTGATGGTTGGTGACAATGGTAATCCCATTCCCCAAAGCATCCCAAAGCTATCTACAACCACAACATATTTATACAAACAGGATGTAGTGGTTTTATATTAGTGTTTGGTATACTGGGTATAATGATGTGCCGCTATGCCCCTTTCCGGACAATCCTCCAAATATAGATGATTTTTCCATTGAAGCATCCATTTACGTGGAATTTCCCGTGTTTGATTACTGGAAGATATTTTGGTGGAGATACCCAAACCTTGCAATCAGGGTTTCTGAGGGGCTCTTTGCTCCCAACTGTTGGCGGGCCTGAATACTCGGATTGAAATTACGCCCAAGCTAGCCCTCGGAACCACCATGTGCAATGGATACTTACTGTAAATGGGGATGCACACAGGTTTAAACAGTTTAAACACCAATTGCCATGTACTTCCTGAGAAGGTACTTGACCCATCTTAAATTTCAAATCATACCCCAAGTCCTCTAGAAGTTACATACTTGGACCTATAGTATTCAGTAATCATCCATCTAATGAACGGGATCATCCACACTCCTGGCAAATCTTCCCGGAGGAGTCAGACTGAGCCGCTCATCACATGAAGGACCTGAAAAATTGGCCATGACGAGTGGAGAACATCCTCCTGGCGCGAAGGTGAGTGGGGGCGAAGCTGGGAGACCCAGCCCATCCCAAAAAGTCAACTCTAAATGATCTTGATAACTATGTGGGGATGGGTCAAAATAGCTGGTAAATGGATATTCATCCCACTAAAAATGGTATTAATAGGTATTGATCCATACCCATGCCAATCTGTGTTTGTGTTTAGTATTGTTTAATATTGTTCACTTGGTTGCAATGAGGCAACGGTTCCAGTTCCATCTCTGGCCCAAACAGTTGACCCATTAGCCTTCCATTCACCCAGCACCCCGCTCCAGATTGCTCATGGCCCGCTCTGCAGTTTCGATAGCACGCTGTACAATGCGATACCTCAAATTGTTACAGTGCAGGGGGACACCACAAAATGTCCATTTGAACAGGGAAAAAACATTATAAATTATAAACCATGAGAGGTTGGGACAACCCCATTTACCACAGGGATCCCCTGTGTGTGTTTAAGTTTGATGGAACCTTTACCGGAAACCCATTAATTTGTGCCACCTGATTTTTGGGTTGCGTTCAGATTTTCCTGTATAAAAAAAAAGACTTACAGCACAGCACTTTTCCAGGATTCAGGGCAACTCATCTTCCATCAACTTCAAACCGGAAAAAAAATAATACCCCCAGGATGTCGAGTAACGAAAACCCAGGATCTGAGTCTTGGATCTGTTCATTTGAGGATTTTTCCACCCCCTGGCTGCACCGGAGCTAAAGAGCTAAGGCGCACATCGCTATGTCCCAAGACCAAGGACACCGCCCTCACTGCGAAGGCCGACAAAACTCCCAGCGGACACATGGACGTCCACATGGCTATTGTGCGCCCTGGCGCAAGGTTTGAATGTTCTGGGGCTGTTCAAAAGTTGAACTTATTTAACCATCAAATGGGGAATTGAACTTTCACCATGAAAATATGGGGATATTTCATTGTCCTGCGGGAATTCAATCACCAATTGGGGAATTTCAGCATGAACTGGGAAATTCACCATCAAATGGCAAATCCTGGAGGCCCAGCCGCCACATGCAGAACTGCAGTCACCGGACTCATCACATACGCGGTCAAGCCAATTCCAAAAGGTACTGTGTTCGTTCATCTGTGTTCAAAGTTCATATGCAAAAATGATCAAACATGCATATGAATCATATGAACCTGCATGCTCAAAAACTGGTTTCTTATTGGGTCCACATTTTAAACGTATGGCATACGGAGCCATGTTTAACTTGCCCCACGAAACAATCCCCAATCCCCTGAACTGCAAGTTGGAGTTTTCCACCCTACCCGCCTTCTGCAACAGCATCTGACCCAGACTTCCAAACAACACCTAGCCGCCACATAAAGATGGATTGCTATGGATTGCTGTTCAGGCTAGAAATGCATACAATATAAATAATATAATTATATAATTACTCAATATAGCAAATTTCAAGAGTCCGCCTATGTTCGCCTGAAATGGCACCAGGCAAACCACTGATTTGATCAAATCAAATCTTCTGGAAAGTGTCTTTCGCTGGGCATCCCACCGTTTCAACTGCTTGGTGACTGGCTAGTCAAACCACAGTCCCTCTGCATAGTCAGCTCAGATCTTACTGAGGTCGAAATGGAAAAGCCTGGAGTTGGGAAAGCACAAGCCGAATCTGCTAATTCTGTGATCCCCTCCCAACCCCCAAAAATACCCCATACGCCGTGGGCCGTGCCTTGTGCCGCTCCCAGCGCTTCATCCAGTGAAGTGGGCTGCTCCACCTGGCCGTCCAGCCACAGAGGGGTCTCCTTTGCAAAGGCAATGACCTGGATGGAGCTGCAGGGATGGGAACTTGCCATGACTTCAGCACGGGGCTTGAAGCAACCAACCAAAATTATCCAAACTTGGAACACAACCAACGGCAAACAGGGTTGTAAAAGGCTCAGGTCATCAAATAATTATGGAAAAAAGGCATGGTTTGAATGGTTTGCTGCCAAAAATGAAGGGCTGTTTGTGGGCCAAATCATATTTGGCATTCCCACAATATGAGCTTACAAAGCGGGTTCAATAAGAACTACATAGAACTACCCTTTGACACCACCCAGCAATCTGTAACCGGTTTCAGACATATGCATCGGGTAGCGGAACCTTTTTAGCTCTTTCCTTTGCGCGACGCATGGCAGCCCAGCCTGGTGCCGCCATTCCTCCCAATCCAAGGAGGGATGCCACAGCCCCGCGCAGCCTCGCGCCATAGCGCCTGCCTGGCTCGTCCCCTGCAGCTGCGCCATGAGCTTCAGGAGCGGCCAACGCGTGGCGAGCATCCTCTGCCTGGGATGTTGGTACCAGCTGGATGTGGGATTCACCATGGTATAATCACCATCCGCAAAATTGGGATGATTTATCATCCCCAAATGGTTGGCTAACGGGATGATTTTTGGGGTTACTGCAAAAAATGAAGAAGGGGATTACAAACAATGAGATTGAACAAGTAGACGCACATGAGGATTTTTATGCGATATCATGATTCAAATGACGAATGTAATTGGCTCAAGTATCCTCATTAATTAACCATAACTCTATGAGCAAGAATGGCACTCCGTCGTGATTAAATATCCTCAATGATTCTCAATCGTCCTAGGGGATTTAAGCTACTAATTACTGCTCCTTCGGGGATTAGGTGTTTGCTGAGTCAGCCGAGGTGCAGGGAGATCTTGTGCAAGCAAGCCTGAGATGCTCCAATTTGCTGAAAACAGTCTCTGGGTTCTCAAGGAGCTGCATTGGGTTCAGAATTGCATTGCCTCCTTTCAAAAACTGTTTGAAATCAAGAAGCAAAGAAATAAACACTACGAACAGGTTATTACTGTATGTTTCATACTTGGTGGTGCAGTTGGGCTTATAAATGGGTAAATCCATGGTTATAACCCCAATAAAGTTGGCATATGGGGGCCCCAAGCTGCTCAGCGACGCATGTTGAGCTCAGGTGCTCTGGCGCCACTAACGTCTGCGCGGCACAGGCACACAGCAGCTGCTCCCAGCTCACATTCAGCCGCTCCATTCCTGGGATTCACAGCTTTGTGCTGCTGCACAACGGTGGGAAGAAGTGGGACTAGTGACTAGAAAAAATATCACACACAGATAAATAAATAATTTGTACATGAATACAAATTATATAAATGTATAAAGAAATATATACATGTAAATGAATGTAAATAAATGTATATAAATTATAAATGTAAAAAAAATGCATACAAATGCATACATAAATGCATATAATGTATATATTATATTAGGATATATTAGGTGGGCAAGTTTAACCATCCAAAATTTGCCAGATTCTTTTGTGCAAATCTGGGGTTTGACACTCCAAATTTTATCAAAATCTTGGGAGAAGGCTCTGGAATCTGCAGGGAACCGGTCAAACGTGTTGACACCATTGTAGAGTCGTGTAATGTTACCAAAATAATTGAAATCATGTGCATGTATGTGTACACACATATATATATATATATATATTATACATATACATATACAGTCACACATGTGTATATATATATATAAATATATATATTTCAGTGCGTCATACTGCGACTTTGCATGGTCGATTCTGATGATTATGTTTGCTTTGCAGTGATCATCCATCTTCCATTCCCGTTTTAGCTAAGAGGCCACATGATCTGCAAAGCTCTGAACAAAAAAACGTCGATGACTACAACTGTCAAGATTAGTTCAACAATGGAATGCTCGAGATCCCTACTTGGGGCTTGGGGGTGTAGTTCCAGTTACGTCTTTAAATGGATATATGATATATATATATATAATTATATATATAACTATATATGTATATGTATTTATTTTATAACCATCGTTGCAGGGTTTATAATTGTTAATATCATTTTATATATGTCCCAACATATGGAGGTTATCACCATGGAGAACCCCAAGTGCACGCAAAATTACTTGGTTGAACATGCTTACTGGCCGGATTCATTTGTAGCGGTGAGCGTGAAACGGTGAAACTGCCTCTTGCTGGCTAGGCTGGCTAGCCAGGGACTGGAAGGTGCTTGTTCAGGCCCCTAGTGCTACTGCATCCAGCAAGTGGCCGCGGCAGGCCTTGGGTGCGGGGCCCTTGTAGGCCTTGCACACCTCCTTCAACAAATCCTTACCTTCCTCCATCGGCTTCCCATTCACCAGGATCCAGGGCACGCCCAGGTGATTCGGTGTCGCCATGGCTTGAGCCTTCACGGCAACGTCACCCTGCCGGCCACCGAAGCATTGACCCAAGGCCTTAGCATCGATCTGGCTGGAGGCAGCACAGGAACCGACCAAAGCCTCAGTCTGGTGGTTGCCATAGCCAGTTTCTACACAATGTGTGAAGGCTATGAAGGCCTTGAAGTTGCTCAACCACTTGGCACAGGCCAAGTATCGGTCCATTTCGCATTCCAATGGCCCGTGTTGGCAAACCACATCGCCAGTGAAGCAGTGCTCAGGCCGATCTGAGGCCTCCAAACCGCAGAGCTGGTTGTAGCACTTGCGGACCTTCACGTCATATTCGTCTCCTCCCTGGCACTCTGACGTCACAAAATATGAGTTCCCAAATGGGTAAAGCTCAACGTTCACGATGGCCGCCACACTTTCTGTTGACAGAATCTTGTTGAAGGGACCAGTGATGGCTTCTTGGCAGAAGGGACAGCCAACCTCAAAATAGAGTTCGACCTTCACCTCAGGGGATTGAGTCATCTGTGACTTTCAGTGACGGAACAATCTTTAGACACCACTAGTAGTCAGAGCTTTTCATCCCTTTCAATGTCGCTGATTTATTCTTGCAACACTAAGCTTTAAGTTTTAAAATTCATAGTGATCATCATTTCATTTCTGAGGAATAAGCGATATATTATAACACAAATCTTCTCTCTCATTTTTGCCAACATTTGCCAACTTATAATATATCCATTTCATTTCGAGCTGCCATTCTCATTATCACTCACATCTTACGGCATCAATTCCTAACATCGTTTCCAAATGGGAAAACGACCCAATGGATTGCAATGTTGACGGGGAAATGACGAGACACCATTTTGGATCTTGAGTTTCCAGATTTTAAGACTGCTAAATCAATACTATTGCTGCTTAAATCCATGTTACGGATTTAAATCCCTATGATTACTGTATATTGCTTTCGAAGCCACCACTTTTGATATCTTTTGATGCTTAAAACATCTTAAAACCCCATAGAATATGTTTGTAGTTTTTGCCCAACCTTCTTCATTCCCAACTTTTGCAACGCAATCATCGCTGTCGCATCTCCATCATCTCGTGCAGCCGATAGCAGGAAGAGCAGCGGCAGCGGCCAAAAACATGCGCATGGTGACGTTGGCATATAGCAGGGGACCATGGACGGTTCGAGAGACGAATATTCTTGAGCCAAATGCGGGAGTTACGGGGGAATATGTGTGTACGTATATTATATAAACATATATAAACGTACTGCCAAAGTTTTCATAGGCTTTTTGGATCTTTTTGGGGCTGGTTGCTGGGGATCGCCGCTCAGATTTCACCACTCGAGAAGGATCTGGCCAACGACGCCGAGATCCTCCAAAATTGGCTGAACAATAGCTTCAATAGCCCATCTCCAAGCTTTACCCATGAGAACCAACCGAGAATTTGAAGGCAAGAATTGGGATCCCGATCCCTATCTGAAGACAAACATAGCAGATCATAGCGGTACTCATGGGGGACTGATTTTGGCCATGGTCTCCAAAACATTCAAGAAATCTGGCACGAAGACATATCAAGTCTCCATTCATATCAATCCACCTTTCAAGGTGGAATCCGCCATTTTCTGAAGTTCCCCAGTTGATGGTGGAATCAGTTGATGATGGTGACATTTCCCCAGTTGATGGTTATACGAAGGCAAAAATCCATGTCCGTAGATTCCCAAGTCTCCCATGGTTCGCCCAGCCATCGACAGCTGCGCAGTTTTGGGACAGCAGCTCCTCCCTCAGCTGCCGCCAGGGCTGACCCGCTACCTCGCAGTCGTCGTCGTGGAAGGCTGAAACGAGCACCACGAGGAGAGCAGGGCGCCAGGGACACATGGTGATGCCATCAGGGCTGGGTTTGGCTGGTGGATTGATGAGTGACAAATTAATAACGAATTGGCAGGACACAAGTAAAAAAATCAAGGGAAAATTAAAATGTGTAAGCAATTGCATGTTTTTGGTGTTTCATGGTGCTGTGTCTGATGATTTACATAGGAAATTAGCTTGTTTGTTATGAGAAAGGGGGCATGCAAGTCGCTTGCATTAGTTGCTTTTTAATACTGAAAAGTAGCGGCAGATCGTTGGTTGTATGTGCTTACCATCTGGGAAAAAATCTCCCTAAAATGCAAGCAACATGGTTACTCTCACTCTGGGTTGATCATTGCAAAATGGAAGCAGTGGTTTTTTCAAACCGGCCCCATCTCAATGGCCGCAAGACATGTCAGCTCCCAGCAACCAGGAGAGAAGTGCCCATGATTTTGGAATATTTTGGACGTGGATGAAAGCATCAAATCATCATGACAATATTCTGGTGCTTGAAGTCGCAAATGGATGCAAATGGCACGTTCACTTCACAGTACCCATACACTGGCACCATTCAAAACGCCAAAGGGCGAAATTTGATGAAATTTGGTGGCAGAATATAATGATTCCAAGATGCTTTGTGCTCCACTGAAATTAACGACAAGGCTGCAATAGCTGCTGCATAACTCTTCATAACTTTTCTATATGCTCATTCCCTGCAAATTAATGCAAATTACGCATCCGTCTTTGGGTTCATCATCCCAGCTAGGAAAATCATGAACCTAACAACCACCTTTATTGACGACTCCTGGCATTGCCTCTGGGAAAAATACACAATCCCATACCCCTTCCCAAGCTACAAGCGATGCGGGCGACAAAGCCTCCATGAGGGTAGGCCGTAGTGTCTAAGCCCATGGAATACATGACGACCAACTGCCAAGAGAGGGCTGTTCCCATATGATGATGGCTTGGTGCCACAGAAAGAGCCTGGCTGACATCCAAGTCTTCAGCATATTTCAGCATTGATCTTCAAAACCCGCTGCTTCGTGGGGGGTTCATGATGGCTATATAAATAATATATATATATAAATACCAGTACTATTCAAAATAAGGATAACACTTGCATCGCTCCACTTTCCGCAACTCTACATCTCTATCATTTCTATCTCTGAGCCAGACAGCCAGCTGCCAAGTGGAGTCTCTGAAGAGTCTATCCACTGGATCTGGGAGACGGGACTGTTGAAATCATGCCACCGAAATCATCCCGAAAAAAACTGGTGCCCCTCATCTGCCACCCCCAGCTTACCAGAACCTTTCATATCATTCATATAGCCTTCATCTATCCTCAACTGATACCAACACCGATATATTGTTGATTCCTTGATCGGCTGCGCGCGCATGCAGCCCTTTTCGTCTCTGGCAGGGGTCCCCAGTCGTCTGCTTCGCAGATGGGGGCCTGCCTCGCTGTGGCATGCAGAAAAAAATGCAAATTAATGGGGTCGATGGGCATTGAATAGCTTGAAAAGGGCTATAAATGGTGATTTCCAGCAAACACAAAATGCACTGGCGTCAAAAAGGCTATAATATGCTATAATTAACTGGTGATTGAATCCGCACACATAGGATAGATAAACCAACAATGGGATAAGTGGGATAACTCACTAACCCTCCAAACATGACCTTTGGAGGATGGCTGAGTCCCAAGAGCTAGATAGGCACTAGATTGGCTCCACGCTGTTTGGAATGCCACGAAGCTCTAAAGCATGTTCTGAAGTTGTTTGTCATCTGAACAACCTCCGTGTTTCCCGAGTGGTACACATAAAAGATCATTTTTTTATCATAAAATGTCTCCATATACCACATTATACCACCATATATTTACCTCACAACTCTGGCTGCATCAGCTCATCCTTTACCATTCCAATAGACTCAAACTGAGGATGAGGCAATGCCGGGCCGGAGTCGGCCGCTGTTAGCCCGTTCGAATTCGTTGCGCTGCCTGCGAAGAAGTCTCCGTACCCGGCAACTGGATGGCGAAATACCTTAAATCTATCAATTATCTACCATTATCAAGGTATTTACCATCAATACTTGATGGTTGGCGACTTACCATGTCTCTCTCTGCCATGATCTACAGATCCATCCGTCCATTGTCCACCTGCAGAAGGCTTTCGATCCGTGAGGCGATTCTGGCGAGTCGATAGACCTCGACGGTGGCGGCCAACGATTCAACCAGCAAATCAATCAACTTAAATCAACTAACAAACTTAAGAGTATCTGAATGTATCTGAATGAGAATCATTGGAATCCATAAGAAAGATGGGTTCATAGTTGAGAAACATTCGAACAAAAACTCACCAAATCAGATTCGGAATCTCATGAAACAGAGCCCATTTTGAGGCTCCGAACCCAGGCAGGGATACCACCAGCTCCTGGCCAGGCTGCTTTCCCGCTGATGGAAAATGAAGATCCCGTCATCTGATAGCCCTATCTTTAAATAAACAGTTTCAAGCGAATGATTATTACATATCATTACTATGTATTACTGTTCATTCCTTTTTTTGAAGGGTACGAGAGTTGTAATTAAGGTGTCTCATGTGTTTGGTGCATGGCTGCACGGACCGGTTTATATGAAATTTTGGGGGTCAAACACCTAGGAGCCTTCCGGCGGGCCAAGTTGAGACATACCTATGCAGGTAGAAAATGCCTCACAAGCACAGTTACCCTGTCATGCACGATGCCGAAGCAACCTTTGTGTTAGTTTCCATGGTTTCCTGATGTTTCCTGTTACTAATCTGCAAAAACATCTCCCAAGTCCAAACTTTCAACCGTTTCAAACATGGTTGGTCCAACGCAGGCATTGCATGTGATCCCATCCCCCTTGGCGCACTATCAATTACCAACCTATAGAAGTATGGGAATCCTGATTTAGTATTGGATATGTGTGGATCTACGGTAGTTTTTTTGAGGTCCCAAAAAAGGGTGCATTAAAAAACAAACACGGGGAAAAACATGATGCATTTTGGCAAAAGTACTCTTCGATGATCGATGGTTGTTGCTGGCCAAATGGCAGCAACACGGGCATCCCAAGGGCAACTAAGCCCCTGGACCCAGTCGTTGGCAGAAGTCGTCTGCAAAGTGGCAGCAGTTCCTAAAGTTGAACCAGGTGAGGGGGTTTTGAACACTCCAATTGGGAAATGGTCATTAAAATTCTCGTGACCTGCACTTGGCCCCCACACTTTCGCAGCAGGTCATACGTGGGTCCCGTGTACCTTGGGCAAGGCTTTGGGTCCATTCAGAGGGCTTGAAACATGCTTCAAGGCCAAGTCCTAATTTCAAAATGCTCAAAACATCAGGATGTCAGCCGCTGCTTCCCGGGTTGTTTGGTTGATCTTTCTATTGTAAGGTGTGTATATTACTAGAATGCATCTTTATCTGGCGACTCACTGGTGTTGGGTGTTTCAGCCCCATCATGGCAATGGACCCCCCCATCTACAGTTTACAGATGATTTTCCCCTGAAAACCTGCACTTAATCACTTATGTATAGGGAACTTCCCAGCCATGTTGAACTCCCAGCCGGCCCTTCCCTGAGATCGGCACTGGATCGACAACTCCTCCAGGAGATCTCCCACCTCTGAAGCCTTAGGAAATTGCCAACAGAAACGGATAGAAATGGGGATGAGACATGATGAAACCATCATGATTTTCCATTGGGTTGGCAGCTGGCAGTTCAAACTGGCCAATCCATGGGATTGTTTCTTTTTGGCTGTTGTGACCATGTCAGTCCATTTCAGGGCTTAAGCTACCTCAAACAAAGGAATAGACAATTCAGTCTGGTTTAACGTGGCCATGGCTGAATTAATTACAGTATATACATATATAATTCACAGGTGAAATTGGTGGTTATGAAAAATTGAAACATCCTGATATCACTCACTGGATCTGAAAAGCTACGAAAGGTATCGTATCGTCCCAAGTCTTTCGTCATGTTCGTAGGGGACGTGGTAATTAACCATAGCAACCCCCAAAAAGACAGAAAAAGAGTTTCCAGAATGTTAGAGATGAAATTTACTTCATATTTCCAGGTGTCCCACTTTACTATCATCATTTGGGGTCGCTATATATACACCCGCCTAGTGCCAAACATTGCCAAACATATCCTACAACGTGGCTGGTGCCGCTGAGCCACAGAGAAATTCGTCCGACGCATTTCCACCGTTTGCCTGGCCCGATTTTTAGGGCACGGCAAAACAAAGCTCATTAGTATATACCCTCTGGTAAACTAACACAACTATGGAAAATCACAATTTTTAATGTGTAAATCAACTATCAATGGGCGTTAAATTGTAGCCTGGAGCTTTTATAATATTTAGCATATTATAGCCTTATATGTATATATATATATATTCGCCAATGTTTAGTAAATGGCTAAATTACTGTATATATAATTACAGTATATACAGTAATTTAGCCTATATCGCTGGTTAGTACATCCGAATTTATCGTATAACCAGGATGACTTCACCCAAATAGGTTCAGATCAACCAAACCCAGCTGCCTGTAGTGGTGATCCGGATGCATTTTCGGAAGGTTGGGAAGTACGCCAGGCTCATCCTGAAACCGGCACAGGACTCTGCAGTTCTTCTCTGGTAGCGGAAGATGAAGAAAAACAACAAACAAATTGCCTTCATGAACAACTTGATGTAGCAACTCGTTCACAACTTTGTTCATTGAGTGTGCCACCGTACATCTTTCACATGATCATGCATATGTAAATATAATATGTATTAATATGTTACATATATGAGCTGCGAACCATATTTGTTACATAACGCAATTGACGGGGTGTTCCTACCTCGTTCTCCAGTCCCGTAACGTTTTTGCCTACCTCATTCTCGGGGTGTTCCTACCTCGTTTTAAAAGCTAAATATGATGTTTTTTACAAACCGGGGTACGCCCGAATACTACTTTCCATATACGCAAATAAGAGCCGTCGCTCATATACTCATCTAGATACATCATGTCACATACAGAGTCTAAAGTAAATGTGTGCACGTGTTTACTTCAGGGGGATCACGGAGGAACAAAGTTTACGCTTCTTGAAGCCTTTACAAGACATCCTCTCGGTCAACCGCGGACGTTTCAAAGTACATTTCGCGTGGCAGGCATGCTATGGTAGATTAAATTGCCATTTGTTTTTAGATAGATAGATAAATAGATAGATAGATAACATAAGATAAGATAAAATTAGATAATATATAACCTGTAAGACTTTAAAACCATTCGGAGATGTTTGGAGGTTAGAAATGCGACCGGGGCACGGGTTCGCAGAGAAACCCTACATGTTCACAGCCAGAAGTTCAGCAATACCAACTTATCTCCTATCAGTATACTAGTATCACGTATATATGGGCTATATCTCCCATTCTACTGTGGATGGTTGCGAAATCCTGCATCACCTTGGATGGTTCCTATAAATAATGGGATATTTAAATATATTTAACGTTTACCCTCTGGTTATTCAACATAGCCATGGGATAGATGGCCCATAGAAATAGATGCTTTACCTATTAATAGCATGGGTGGATCTTCCATGGCTATGTTAGTCATAACCAGATGGTACCACCTATCAACTGCTGCAGGAGTTCGCGACGTCCTCCGACTCGGTGCATCCGTAGGACCATTCTGTGCCACTCACCTGCGGATGATCAACGCTGAGTGAACTGATTCATGAAGTTATAACGATTGTATATTATTTATATAATAGATAATTATATATATATATACATATTATATATATATAGATTATGTATATATAAAAAGAAGTCGGTTGGCTCACCATAGCTCACCATTTTTTGTCATCCAGTTGTACTCGGGGATTAAAACCAGGTATCAACCAGTTAATGAACTTCATGGCCAATCTAAAAAATTGTGATAAATATGTTCTGATATATGTAAATCAACAATCGAACATGGCGATCAAGAAGGCCTTAGTTCATCGAATTTGCATGCGAATAATTGGGGATGTTTAGTGATTTTTGATTTCCATGTCCATCTAATGTCACATCTCAGACTGTTTCATCCCAGCAGGCCTCTTTTTCCTCCAATCAATCTGGGCAAATGACAAAAATTGAAGTGGAAACAAAACAAAAAGACTTTCAAAAATGCAATCAATATATCGAGATAATATTCAATCAATATCAATCATAATCCCTCACGTCTGACATCATTTGCTCATCTATCCAGTCTTCTCTGGTCGTGCGCGTGTGCGTCGCAGGAAGCGTATAACGATCAGTATGGACAAGGCCAGCAAGGCCTGGGAAACCCATGGGTGAGATCAAACCGAGGGCCCCTGGTGAACACTCAAGTTGCTGTTAAAAGGGGGGCCCGTCATCCCCACAAAGTATATACATGTATAATATACATATAATATATATATATATACATACATAGATATACAATGATATACATACATCACATTACATCACATTACATTACATAACAGTTCATAACATTACATAACATTACATAACATTGCAAAACATTGCAAAACATTACATAACATTACAGAACATTACATAGCATTACATAGCATTACATAACAATACAACACATTACATAACAGTACATTACCACTACAAAACATTGCATAACATTGCATGTCATTACATAACATTACATACCATTACATACCATTACATACCACTACAAAACATCACATAACATTACATAGATTGCATTACATTACATTACATTTACATTTACATTTACATTAATTACATCACATTACATTGCATGTTTGCATACATGTAATTATATATATATAGTCTTAGTATATATATAGTTTTAGTATGTATGTATATATATATATATGTATATATATATACAGAAATAGACGTAACCATCCCCATTTTGAACGGTTGGGTCTCAGGAAGTCATTGAAGATGGCAACGGAAATGAGATAAGACTGGCAAGGCCGCTGACAATTTTGGCATGGGAACCACTGAAGGGGGTTCAAAGCATCGTGTTTTGATCGAAGAATAAAATAACCATAAAGATATATGAGATTCCTCGATTGATGACCCCACAAAAAAGAGACGAGGATGTGCACATTCCATTATGTAAATACTTTCAAAATCTTAGAAAACCGTATGTCTTTCAAACGTCACATTGTGAATCATGTGCTGCTTATACTGAATATCTCGAAAATCCCCAAGGTTTAAACCAACATCACCAGAATCATCAAATCTCAATCGACCTTGGTGATGTTGGTTGAAAATTACTTCCAAGATTTATTGAGTATCTCCATCTCACCAACATCACCAGTACTCTCCGGTGGTCAAACATGGCAAGGGAAAATCCCATCCTAAATAGAGGTTTATAGCTGCGAAAATCACCTATAAATGGTGGATTTTCCCTTGCCATGTTTGATTACTAGAGGATATGTCCCATCATTATCCCATTATATCCCCATTGAATCACTATTAAATAGAGGGTACATCTCAATTCATTTCATCAGCAACGCGCCAAGCAGCCAGCAGGGAAGGGATGGCCAGCCCAGGGTAGCCGCCTGGCGAAGCGAATCGAAGCGAGCTGTGTGAGGCATGCCCTACATGGCCAACTGTATGTGACATGTATCACACACACATATAATATAATATAATATAATATAATATAATATAACTCAATATATTATAATATAATATATTATAATAAAATATAATATAATATATTATATTATAATATATTGAGTTATATTATAATATAATATAATATAACTCAATATATTATAATATAATATATTATAATATAATATATTATAATAAAATATAATATAACATAATATAATATAATACAATATGTTATAATAAAATATATTATAATAAAATATATTATACTAAAATATATTATAATAAAATATAATATAATATAATATAATATAAATATATATATATATAGTATCTGTTGAAACTGAACAAAATGAACAAACAATAACTCAATACATTTATACACAATAACAGTGATATTCAACATAGACACAGTCATAGTCAGTCATAGTCAGTCATAGTCAGAATATATATATATACTGTAACAATGGCAATAATAATCGATGTTCTGGAACATCCCAGAACTGCTGCTTTAGGGATGGATGCTGGTAAGGAAGTGATTGGGATTGGATGTCCCCAAGATCCATCTGCTGACAAGCTGCTTTGATCATCAGCCGCCGCAGGCCATTCTTGGAAAATGTCGTCGACCCTGGGGGAACGAGGGATGGCACCCCGAGATTTTACATAGAACATCTTGGGAGCCTGCAGAATGAATGGGCCTGGAACATGTATATCTTTCCGTAAGTTGCATTCCATGCCGATTTTCGGATCCCAAACTCGCGCACGTTACACACCCACTGGTGCTGATCAGCAGAAGGCAAGCCCCTCCCCAATCAAATTCAGCAGGGAAGCTGCGTAGTTTTGCCACCGATTTTCTTCATAAAACTTGATTGTAGCCTGCCTTGCCACCATTCTTCACTATACACTGCGCCTAGTTTGTCAAACTTATTTCCTGTGTTATGTTTAAACGAACTTCAAGTCATCCGAGGAATAAAAGAAACCCCAGCCCTCCACTGCTCTGAGGCACTGCATGGCTCTTTGCTCGCTGATCCTAGGCCAATGAAGGGTGTTGGCGCGTCCCAACAAAAAAAATGCCAACCAAAGGGCGAAAACCATTTGTATAGTATCTTCTGGTAATTCAAGAAGGGAATGGAAAACCTACCACTTGAGTAAGTGGATAATCGACCCATTATCTTGGTTTTCCCATTGGCATCTTGGAATGCTAGAGGGGATGATGACCATCCTGGAGTCCTCCATTTTTTTGGAGAAACAATTGTATTTTATGGATTTTTATGGTATTTTCCCAATCTCCGCTGCTTCAAAATCGTTCTCAACAGTTGGGAAATCACATTAAAAGGTAGGTAAACGGTTAACCTCATCAAAACTGGAACATTTCCTCCTGTTGGTGAAGCCCCACTGAACTCCTCCTCCGCCAGCGTCCGAGAGTCGATTGTGCCAGCAGCTTTTCCAAGACAGACCGAGGGCTGCGGTGCAAAATGTCCTAGTCCGATGATCTCCGATGATTTTTAAAGTTAGGAAACATGGTTGGGAAATGATTGGGAATATGCCTGGAAAATTGAGTGGGAACATGGTTGGAAAATAGTGAGGAACTGGTTGGGAAATGATTGGAAAAATTGTTTCGAAATGATTGGAAAAATCATTGGGAAAAGGGACGATGGCTCGGAAATGAGCGGGAAATGATTGCTAACCGATCGGAAGATGGTTGGAACATGTTGTATAAACAATTTTTAAACGGGGGGTGCATTGGTTACACCACGTTAGTTGGGAAGTCTGTCCTAGGTATATGACTATATGTGATACCATACATTGTATCTCCATACTTAATTTATTCAGGCAACATGTGTATATCTGCATGTGTGTGTTTGTGTGTGTGTGTCCAGTTTCTCCGTTGCACAATGAAAGAAAACAACTACGATACATGGATGTGGAACATGAATGAACATGACCCAGGCCTTCACCAGGTGCTCCGGCACGAAGCCCGCCTTGAAGGCCATCACTCGAGGCGAGGCCGCAGCCTCGACAACGATGTCCTGTCGTTGAATAAGTTGTTTGTTCTTCTCGGGGGTTACTATGATGAGATAAAATGCGCAGAAGTGAAGACATGGAATACACCAAAGCCTAAATGAACCCATAATATTGGCCATGCCTAGGGGGAGTCGTAGTCGTAGTCCTCCTCGTCGTCGTCAAAATAATAGTAGTAATAGTAGCAATAGCAGTGGTAGTGGTAGTGGTAGTAGCAGCAGCAGTAGCAGTAGGAGAAGCAGGAGTAGTAGTAGCAGTAGTAGTCGTAGTAGTAGTAGTACTAGTAGTAGTAGTAGTAGTAGTAGTACTAGTAGTAGTAGTAGTAGTAGTCGTAGTAGTCGTAGTAGTCGTAGTAGTCGTAGTCGTAGTCGTAGTAGTAGTGACGTAGACGTAGTGGCAGTGGCAGTGGTAGTGGTAGTGGTAGTAGTCGTAGTAGTCGTAGTAGTCGTAGTAGTCGTAGTAGTCGTAGTAGTCGTAGTAGTCGTAGTAGTAGTAGTGGTGACGGTAGTAGTAGTAGTGACGGTGGTAGTAGTAGTGACGGTGGTAGTAGTAGTGACGGTGGTAGTAGTAGTAGTAGTAGTAGTAGTAGTAGTAGTGACGTGGTGGTGGTGGTAGTAGTAGTGGTAGTAGTAGTCGTAGTAGTCGTAGTAGTCGTAGTAGTCGTAGTCGTAGTCGTAGTAGTAGTGACGTAGACGTAGTGGTAGTGGTAGTGGTAGTGGTAGAGGTAGTGGTAGTGGTAGTGGTAGTGATAGTCGTAGTAGTAGTAGTAGTAGTAGTAGTAGTGGTAGTGGTAGTAGTGGTAGTAGTGGTAGTAGTAGTGGTGACGGTGGTAGTAGTAGTGACGGTGGTAGTAGTAGTGACGGTGGTAGTAGTAGTGACGGTGGTAGTAGTAGTGACGGTGGTAGTAGTAGTAGTAGTAGTAGTAGTAGTGACGTGGTGGTAGTAGTAGTAGTAGTAGTGACGTGGTGGTGGTGGTAGTAGTAGTGGTAGTAGAAGTAGTAGTAGTAGTAGGAGTTGGAGTAGGAGTAGGAGTGGGAGTAATTAGTTGTAGTAGTAAGAGTAGTAAGAGTAGTAAGAGTAGCAAGAGTAGTAAGAGCGTAAAAGTAGTAAGGGTAGGAGTAGAAGTCGCAGTAGCATAGCAATAGCAGTAGCAGTAGCAGTAGCAGTTGTTGTTGTTCTTGTTCTTGTTCTTCTTCTTCTTTTACTGATGTTTGGGCGTTAAGCAACTCACCACTTCGCTGGTCTTACAGATTATCCCAAACAATGGCATACATGGGCAACCCCAACAATAAAGAACATTGTTTTTTCTCATTGGGCTTGCCACATTTCATAAAAAAGCATTGCATTTACCATCAAAGCCAGATAAATATGATAAATTATATAAAGAAATTACTGTAGAAAAAATCACTAACCTCAAATAGAATAATTTAGGGATATGTTTGGATGGTTACCCCTGCTAACCATCATTCTAGTGAGATCGCAAATGGACCTGGAAACAACTTCCGGGACCTCAGCTTCTAGATTCTAGATACTAGTCGATGGTCTCAACCTATCCCCCCAAGAAAAAGTCCAAAGGCCAATGAACCAGGATGGAAAATTAAAAACAATAGTATATATACACGTGCACGAATAATATAGTAACATACCAAGAGAGAGAGAGAGAGAGAGACAGAGATAATTATATATATATAATATATACAAAAACACACACATATATATATATATGACACCAGCGACTATAGTATGTTGATGCATTCATGACTTCCTGTATGCTACAGAGGTCCCCACACTCTCCTGCGCATCAACGGCTGACCTCAGGGCCAAGACACGAGTCGAGGCTGATTTTGGACGGCGAACACTTCCATTTGATTCCTTTTGTGGGTACATTTACAGTGGTTCTAACCATAGAACCCCCCAAAAAAACATGAAGAGAAAACACGATTAATTATAGCTATTCTCTTACCAGTATCCTACCGTGGCAGTAGATTTCTTTTCAATCCGATTTTTGTGCGCTACATCAGAAAACCATCCGAATCAGAAAGCTTCCTTCCCCGCCTGGGTGGAGGCCGCCAGCGCCTGGCCTCAATCTGAATTGCTGACATAGATTGATGTTTGATGTTTGATTATTGATGATATCTGATGATATTTGATGATGTTCCATGATTTTCCATAATTTTCCATGATTTTTCATGATGTTTGATGATATCTGCCCCCCCCAAAAAAATCTTTGGAACACATCTGGCGCTGTGTCCAGGGCCTAAAGGGGCGCAGAACCCATTGGCCACAGGGCCACGCCTTGTGTTTCTTCGTGGACAGCACGTCCAACTTGGTTTGTACTGGCTGGGGCTCCATGTCCTCAGTGAACAACAACTCCCCCGGTTTGGGTCAAACATGTTCAATCATTGCCAGGCAATTTTCCCAGATTTCCCTGACTTTGGAAAACTTTTGATAGCTTACCATATTTATCCATATTGTGTATATATATATATACATCTAATCTATCAAATCTCTGCAAACAGACCATTGTTTCAGAGCCGCAGCCAAAATCCTCAACAATTTCGACAAAGGCTCTGGATCCTTCAGGATCAAGAGCTCGTGACCACCGTTGCCCTGAAAATCGCCAGCAAAAGGGTCAATTCATAGACTTGCTTGCTATGCACATGTCAATGTGCGCATACCCACACGTACATGATTACATTATTTGTCTTGTCCATACATGTGCAAGCGCATCATGGTGTGTAGACATATATCACTCAGATTTCACAGATGGTACTTGGATGTCGTCTTTCAGTGAGTCAAGGTCTTCAGCCCAGATCTTCCTCAAGCTCAACATGCTCAATGCCCACATCATCCATTATCCATGTGTGACATCGGGCGTATGACTCATGCGCATCACACTCACTAAACTCAGCCAAATGCTTCGAACGGCAAAGATCCTGTCCTCATGCAGCTATATATGAGGTTTCCCAAAATGGGGGTACCCCAAAATCATCCATTTTAGCATATTTTGATTAACCATTTTAGTAGGAGTTACCATTCTTACCATCCATTTTAAGGTAGCCCCAACAGAAACCCACATATGTGGCCATGTGCGCACCATGCCGTAGCCTGCAAGTACAATGAGAGAATTCCCGAGGCGAGCTCCGACTGCCCAGTCCTTAGCTAAGAACTGAGCTGCGCATCTGGAACTGCTCTAGTAAACGGACGATTTGTAAATGATAATGATATATATATATTGTGTGTGTGATATCTATTTTAGTGGTTTCATATCTATACGTATCTATGATTGAATAATATGATTGAATATCTATGTATGATTGATACTAGTAATGACTGCTTATATCTTCTTATCTATGATTGAATATGATTACATATTTATGATTGACTGTGATTACATTGCATCTCCCAATTGTTGCGATGGGACTCCGGAAAAAAATCTGACATTGTGACACTGTCAGAACATACTTTCTCACATCTACTCTCAGCCACGAACCCCATAGATACCTGGTATCCCTTTTGGCTTGGCTATGCTTGGCCACTTGCAATTCCAAGGTTCCAAACATTTTTGATGAGGACCTTCTCCTGGCCATTCTGAGCGAAAAACAACTGACGTGTTTCATCGGGACCCCAGGGCCCAGCCGGCCAACGAGTCCCAAACCCATGGCTGACCATCTCAGGAAAAGGTGTGCTTCGAATTATAGCTTTAAGAGCGACAGGAAACCAAAACTCATCCTTAAAATTGCAGGCTCTGAAATGTCCATCAACGATGACCCATCCCTATTTTTCTGTCGCGCAACCGCCACCAGTTCCCAGGTCCTTAAGAAGTTTGGACAATGGCAGTTCAACGATGGCCTTCTGTCTCCCAAAGTTCACAGCAGCCAGGGCCGTTTCGCCCGTGCCTGCTGGGACAAGCTGATTGGGTTTAAGGACCACCAGTGACAATCTGGTTTTACTCTGAAATGTAAAGGTTTACTGTTGAAGATGTATTTATATATATATATACATATCCTAATAATAATAAATTACTTTACTTCGTGTGATCCCCACCATGACATTTATACATGTTGTTACTCGCAAATCTTCTGGCATTCTATATGACATATCTTCTGGCATTCTATCTGGCATATCTTCTGGCATATGTTCTGGCAGATCTTCTGGCATTCTATCTGGCAAATCTTCTGGCATTCTATCTGGCATATCTTCTGGCATTCTATCTGGAAAATCTTCTGGCATTCTATCTGGAAAATCTTCTGGCATTCTATCTGGCATATCTTCTGGCATTCTATCTGGCAAATCTTCTGGGATTCTATCTGGCAAATCTTCTGGCATTCTATCTGGCATTCTATCTGGCATATGTTCTGGCATCTCTTCTGGCATATCTTCTGGCATTCTATCTGGCATATGTTCTGGCATATCTTCGGGCATTCTATCTAGCATATCTTCTGGCATTCTATCTCGCATATCTTCTGGCATTCTATCTGGCATATCTTATAGCATATGTTCTGGCATATCTTCTAGCATATGTTCTGGCATATCTTCCGGCATTCTATCTGGCAAATCTTCCGGCATTCTATCTGACATATCTTCTGGCATTCTATCTGGCATATCTTCTGGCATTCTATCTGGCATATCTTCTGGCATATGTTCCGGCATATCTTCTGGCATTCTATCTGGCATATCTTCTGGCATTCTATCTGGCAAATCTTCCGGCATTCTATCTGGCAAATATTCTGGCATTCTATCCGGCATATCTTCTGGCATTCTATCGGGCATTCTATCTGGCATATCTTCTGGCATATGTTCTGGCATATCTTCTGGCATTCTATCTGGCAAATCTTCTGGCGCTTTATCTGGCATATCTTCTGGCATTCTATCTGGCATATCTTCTGGCATATTCTCTGGCAAATCTTCTGGCATTCTATCTGGCATATCTTGTGGCATTCATTCTATCTGACATTCTATCTGGCATTCTATGTGGCAAATCTTCTGGCATATGTTCTGGCAAACATTCTGGCGCTTTATCTGGCATACCTTCTGGCATTCTGTCTGACATTCTATCTGGCATATCTTCTGGCATTCTATCTGGCATATCTTCTGGCATTCTATCTGGCATATCTTCTGGCATTCTATCTGGCATCTCTTCTGGCCTTCTATCTGGCCGTTGAGGTCCAGCGGTGCACACTGAGCTGGGCAGGTTCCAGGTTGAGGTCCAGCAGTGCACACTGAGCTGGGCAGGTCCCAGGTTGAGGTCCAGCGGTGCACACTGAGCTGGGCAGGTCCCAGGTTGAGGTCCAGCGGTGCACACTGAGCTGGGCAGGTCCCCGGTTGAGGTCCAGCAGTGCACACGGAGCTGGGCAGGTCCCAGGTTGAGGTCCAGCGGTGCACACTGAGCTGGGAAGGTCCCAGGTTGAGGTCCAGCGGTGCACACTGAGCTGGGAAGTTGGCAAAGAGCTTGGCGCAGAGAGTCGGCGAAGAGAGTTGGCAAAGAACTTGGCGAAGAGTTGGCAAGGCGGGAGTGCAGGTGGAAGTTGATGCAGACATGGTCGAGGAGAAACTGGAGGAGGAGACGAGGAAGAGGACAGCTAGTCGAGGAGGAGGAGGAGGAGGAGGATGACGAGGAGGAGGACGAGGACGCGGAGGAAGAGCGCTCTGATAAAATCTAACAACCCTCACCTGGCAGGTGGGGAATAATATAATATATGTAAGAATGATTAATAGAATAGTTAGCTCACACAGTTGCAGGTATGTCTGCCTACCCCACACCCAGTTGTTTGTATATGGTCAGATCAATGGATGGATGGACAGATAGACAGACAAACAAACAACTAGATACCTAGATAGATAGGTGAATGATAGGTGAACAAATATCCAAATATCCATCGAACTCATTTACAACTATGTGACTATGTGTATATTGACATCTTCCCTAATATTACCCATTAAATTAATGAAGTACATTGATGTACTATATATGCGTAGATATGCTAACTAATATGGATAACTACATCCCATCGAGGGGCGCAACTCGTTGACGCCGCGATACTCATGAACTTGGCCCACGCAACTTGGCACTGGCGTTTGGCCTTGGGTCATGGTCTGACTGTCAGACTGGATGACAGTGGGGGGCCATGGATTGGAAACCTCCAAGTGAATTGTAATAAGCCTACATTTATATCATTTATGGTTTAAGGGCAGGAACGTATCCTTTCACATCTTAGGTTTAGGTAGGCAGTGAAAATGGGAGGAAGTGGACATAAGTGGACTTTATATGAGTCTGTAACTTTAGATATTTTAGATGAGTTGTGATATGACTATAGAATACTACGTGTAAATATGTATGCAAAATCACCGAGACACCCTACTGTACATTACATCACTATTGGGCTATTGTTGTTTCTCGTTTGGGCCGGGTGGCTGTGAAATTTCTGTCGACAAGTATATACTATTGTTGGTGGCTCAGTCGGGCTGAAATGTCAGATTTCGGGATGGGGTGCATTCGCCCCACTACAACGCATTTTTGACATGACGCTTTTGACCTTTCCTTCCGCTATTGGGGTTTGTGGGGTGGGGCAATGACGTCCTTTGGCACTTACACTCACGTGATGCGACTTCTCATCTTAACTTGTACTTGTACCATGGGTCTTACGTCACGAATGTATCTTGCTAGAGATGTTCTACGGTACGTCAAGGGGGTTGGGGTAGTACGTCTCATGTTAACCTGTATACATGGGGTCTAACGTCACGGATGTGTTTTGCTAGAGATTTTCTACGTTACGTCATCCATCGGGTTGGGGTAGCACGTTTCATGTTAACTTATATCTTGGATGGAGAAGCGTGTTTTTAAACAAGATAAACCTGCTTTGGTTTTGATATACATGATTATAAATGTTTACTTCTGTTGGGGAATGGTTGGCCATGTGTGTGTGTTTGGAAACCAAGATGAATATGTGATCCTACGATGTATAACTTCCAAAGAACAAAATGATGCCCAAGACGTTTCTTGGCGCGGGTTTACGACCCGACCGGGCGTTGTTGGTCGGTCGGTTGGTTTGCAATCCCTTCCCCCTAATATTAAAACCCCCCAGACATAACTCCACTTTATTAATTGGCTCTCCAAGACTCCAAGTCATATGTATCTACATGTATAAATGTATTCAGAAAATATGTATAATCTATAGAATTGGTTACTTCTGCATCAATGGGACAGCAAATCAGGTTTTGTAGAAATATGTTAAAGTAATAACAGTGAAGGCATTTAAATATCCATGCATTTCAAAATGTATATGTTGGCCCCAATCACAAACAAGACATGCCTATGCGGACTCTTTCGCTAGGTCAGCGGACGAATCGAATCTTGAGCCATCAGTAAGATGGCGGAATTGTCTTTTGGTCAATTGATATGATGTCATCCTTAGTCATGATTCCACAGTCCCCCCAACTGTTGTTGACCAAAAGCTGACAAAAAAGTTGCTCTACATTCGCTTCGTACTCTGCTTGCAGCCTCTTGTGACTGGCAGAGTGGCTCCTACGGCGGAAAGCTACGTCACTTTTGCGCTGGTCCATCTCCTCTTTGACATCCACCAAGGAGAGCCATCCGCTCTTCAGGAACTGGTTCAGCGCATCATTGCCTCGTGCAGGATCAAGCTTAGTCAAAGGATCTACTACCATTTTCTGATGAGGAACCCACCGCACCATAGATTTTGTTGATTGCAGATCTCTGAGCACTATTGCTAGTTCCAAAGCACTTTTGCGATCTTGTTTGCCGCTAGGATTTTCTCTAAGAAGACAATCAAAAAGAGACTTCGCATCTGTCACTGAGCACTGCTGTTGACGTCCTCCTAAACTGCACTGGCCTCGGAGAACTATCATGTGAGGGCTGAGTGAGTTGCGCCAGCAGCTCAGTTGGACATCATGGTGCACTGCATCTCGGTACATCACCTGGAGCCAATCTACTTCGTTCACTCCTTGCAGCATGGCCTGAGTCTCTCCGCCAAACGTGCTGAAGACCTTGCGTTTCAGTTTGGAGGAGCGCCAGGTGATTGGTGATGCCCTGACGCGTTGTTTGCCTTCTGGGAGAGTCTCTGCTGCCAAAACAATCCATGCGCCTTGGGTCGCATCGGCTGGAAGCCCTTCGTCATCCAGAAGATCACTGCCTTTCGTGTTGATCCCGCCAGCGTCTGAGATGGCGATGAAGCACATGGTGTGAGGATCAAATTTCCAGAGCTTAAGAGTTCTGTCTGCTGTTGATCGTAGATAGTTGACAAACTTGTTTGCTATACCTACGTCTTCAATGGTTGCATTTGGCAAACGGCTCGCCATGATGGATGCTAGACCAGCTGCCTCAGGTCTGGTCTCGCGTCCCAACCAGTTGAACTTGAAGGTCAAGGATCGCAGAGCGTTGAACTCTTCAGCCGTCAGCTGGGAGTTCTTCTGGGTGCGACGCCCCTTCTGTAGAGCTACTGGATGGATTTGCTCGATGATGTACTTGCTCTGATCAACGTAAATGCAGTCTGGTGTGCATTTGATGTGCCTTCCCGCATACTCTGCCTCACTCTCCTCCCACTTGCCAAACTTGAATCTGTTGGTCAGGGACTCTTTGATCGAACCGTAGTGATTCTTCTGAGCGGCAATGATGAAGTCGTCCACTTCGACTAAGATTTGCGCAACGCATTGCCCATGTTCATCAAATTTTGAATACCAACAGGGTTCAACAAGGTTACGCTCAAAACCAAGGTCCTCCACCAGGTATGTTGCCACCGTAGTTCGCCAAGCGGCTGGCGCGTTGTCCAACCCATAGACGGGGACATCAATGGCTATCAATGATCCTGGTGGTAGGTGGAGTCCTTCACAAGGTTCTGCGTATAGAGGACCTCGAGGCCTTCGAAGTGGAAAGGATTGGCAGAAGGCGTTCTTCACGTCTCCGAAGGCAAACTGCATCTGCAGATTAAGCCCAGTCTGCAGAAACATCATGATACCCTCCGCCTGAGGTGTGGGAGCGTATGTTGACAAAGTGCCGGTGTCTGGATCGCAATGACCGTGTAGGCACCACCTCGATTTTGCCTTCCAAGAGTGCAGCTCAGGCTGTGGTTTCTTGCGTCGCACCATCCGAGAACTGATGATGCGATCAGGGAAGCGTTGACGAATCTTGTCTGCTTCCTTCTTCCCAATGACGTGCACGGCCTTGGTGTTGAGGATGGCTTGCCACTCCAGCTTGTCGGCTTCATCAAACATCTTTCGCTCCTCGGTTGACAGATCCTTCAAATTTATTTCTCCTCCTCTTTTTGGAGCGGCTAGTAGCGCCCATCCGCCCTGCCTGTCAGAGCACCAGGTGTCGTCGCCAAGCCTGTAGTTGAAGTAGGTGCCACTCCAGCCCTCGGTACTGAAAGCTTGTTGTCTCTCTTCCTCTTCATCAGAGTCCAGTGTTGGTGGAAGAGGTGGCAAGTCACCTTGGATTGATGGGATGCTTCTCAATAGCCTGGCCACTGGTGTCCCAGGGGCTCTTGTAGTGGAGGTTGAATGAGCTCCTTCAGGTTGCAGAGGAGGTTGGGTTGAGCTGGATGCTCCTGCTCCAATTTCTGAAGACATCTCATCTAATCTGGCTGCCTTCCATGGAGGTTCGGCCACCGGAGAAGTCGACTCCGTTTCGAGAGGCTCTTCAGCTATGGAGTCCATCTGCGATGTTGGCACAGGTGGCTCTGCGGCAGGTTCCTCCACGGAAGATCGCCTTGATGTTGTCAGAGGTTGTTCATGTGTCATAGGAGCCAAGCCAGGAGGTGCCTCAGGAAGTTGATCGATCCAAGGCTGAGACATCTCTCGTCCCAGACCAGGTGGTACTGGTTCAACTGGCTGTGGCATCTGTTGAGGTGCTGCTTCGCTTGTTCCGGGGCTTCTGCTGAACTTGGAGGCAACTGCAAAGCTGGATCCTGCGCAATCTCCACGCCGTCTTCAACTCGTTGAACAGGATTGAGTTCATGTTGAGGTGGTGGTGGTCCCTCACTGGCCACGTCAACTGCTCCAGCGTGGGTTCCAGAAATCACCTGCCTAAGAAGTTCTGCAAGCCCTGGATCTGACATCAGATCTCTGCCAAGTACTTCGCTTGGTAGAGCAGCTCGAAGTTGAGAGGCAGAGCATCTCCACAGTCGGGTTCTCATTCCCACGTAGACTGTGTCGTTGTTTGTCATCACCACTATGCCTGGACCTACCCATCTGTCTCTAAGATGAAGATCTTGTGACTGGCGGGCACGACGAAACACATAGACCCATTGGCCTACAGACCAGTGGCGATTGGGGTGGTGAGCTGCTTTCTGGGCATGTATGATCGCCTCACGGCTGGACTGCTCCATGGCACATTGACGTCCACGTTCTCTGACGGCATGACGTCGCCGATACTCACCTGCTGCTTCATCGACTTCACCTGGGTCTTCGAAGGCGTCTCGCAGGCCATGGTTGCCCAGTTCGTCCTCAGAGAGAAGTTCACCAGGAACTCGTGGAAGTTCACCAAATACCAGTTGAGCTGGTGTGTAGCCTCCCTTGGACAGCCATCTATTCTTGGTAGCCGTCAAAGAGGATAGGAACTCATCTAGCTCAGGAAGATTGGTGAAAACACAGCGTCCACCATGAATCTCAGAATCCAACCTGTTTTTCAACCAACCGCCATGACGCTCCCCCTTTCCGTTCTCCCACGGGCATTCTGGATGAATCACGTGCTGATACACCCCGTAGAGCTCTAGACCTCGCTCGAACATGGACTTGAACTCATTGCCTGAGTCGCAGATGATCACTTGGGGCATGCCGAAGTATCGGACCCAACTCTCCAAGAAGACTCTCCAGGCTGTGGAAGATGTGGGTGTGCCTCCATGGGATCCGTCAGGTACTGGAGCTCGTACAGCAACTTGATAGGAGGTTCCCACGCAGACCATATTGAATATGGGGATCTGCTTTTCCTGGAATCTGATGTACAGGAAATCCACGCTGAGAATCTTGTTGAAACTGAACGTGCGTGGCAGTTGAGCTCTGCGACGGGCATCAGTCTTCTGCTTGAGGTCACAGTCCTCGCACTGGAACTCGTCTCTGACGAATCGGAGAACTTGAGGGAGGGCTCCAGCAGCCTTAAAGGCTCTGAGCATTCTGTGACGGTCAGAATGACCGGTGTTGACGTGGACCTTCCGCACCAGGCGCTTCTGCGAGTCAGTCAGCTGAGGCAGAGGCAGCCTGCTGTCTTCTCTGGCTTCAATTGGCGTTGTGATCTCCTCTTCCTCTTCTTCCTCGCCGAAGAAACTTTGAAGAGTCTTCTCACTGTCCTTGTAGGTCTCGCTCTGGCTCAAGGGCTGCATGAAACTCGGAGCGATCATGCCAGAAACGATGTGCTCAGTGCTGAGAACTATAGCTCGACATAGGTCAGGCGGATATTCCTGTGCTTTCTTGGTGTAGTTGCCTTCCAGGTGAAGGTGTTCGTGGTCTCCAGAGCATTGGGCTTGCAGGAGAAGGTACGCAAGCCATGGATTGCTGGTCGCAATCTTAGTGCTCTTTCTCGAGAGACGATCTGAGCCTTCTTGCACTCGTAGTCCAAAGGCGCACTGGTCAAAGGTCATCAAGGCCACATCATCCCTTGCCAAGAGCTTCTGAGTTTGCGGAAGCTCCCAGGTTTCTGCTCCCTGAGGATGCTCCAGGCCGAAGTGAAGGCCATCAGCTAGTTGATCTCGAGCGGCTTCCAACGAGAAGTTCCATTGAAGATGCCCTTCTTCGAGGTCTCTCTTGAGCGTCTGCTCACTCATATGCCTTCTGTTCAAGTGCCGCCACTGAGTGAACGCGCGACACTCGGGCGAGGCCATCAACATGCGAGGTTTCCGGTCTTTTCTGAACTTCCTGAACTTGACCCTGTGAGCCTTCTTGCGGACATCCCAACCGTGCTTCAGGTCAAAGATCTGAGAGGTGTCTACCCGCAAGCCGCGATCACGAGCTATGGGAGTGACTCGAGGAGGTGAAAAGAGCTCCACAAAATCCAGCTTGCTCTGGCCTGAAACATCGGTGGCTCTGCGTGCCAGCCAGGTCAGATTTTTGTGGCTGTGATCTTCGTCATGCTGTCGAACTTTCTGCTCGCAGCAGTCATCTTCATCCCCTATCTCTTGACGCCAAACACTTGCCTTGAAGGCCCAAAATGGGCCCTGTTCTGAAAAATCACCATGTTCATCAAAAACTGCAATGTTGGAGTCATTGTCTGCCAGCTGAAGCACGCTCAGTAGTGAGGTCGGCAGACCCCAACAACGAGCCCGCACTGATCTCGGCTTTGCAAAAGTTGCTGCCCCTTGTGTTCGTGGTCCATCCTCTAAACACACTCCCGTGTCTAGATCATACATTTGGAGCCACAAAAGTTGCCATCCATCACTGAAAGAGAACATGATCTCCGTGACGTCATTCACCAGGGCCTCCTTGCACTGGATGTAGGAGGGCAGCCACTTGGGTCTCACTGGTTTGCATGAGGAGACAGACTCGGTGCCGTGAACCGCACCACCTGCACACTGATAGGATGCTGCACATTCTTTAAGACCATGACATAAGCTACCACCTGGACATTCTGTTGAGTCAGGACATACCTTTGCGCTATGACATTCGATGGCATCTTGACATTCCTGGAAGCCAGGACATACTGGAGAAACATGACATAGGCTGTCGCCTGGACATTCTGTTGGGTCAGGACATACCTTAGCGCTATGGCATCCGATGGCATCTTGACATTCCTGAAAACCATGACATACTTGACGCCAATGAGAGAGCTCTCCACAGTCTTCAAAAGGTTCAGGCCGCAGTGATTTCGGACAATGGCGAAAGACCACTGCGTTCTCATCCAGATTGTGCTGCAGCAAGAGCTTCTGCAGCTCTGTCGAACATTGAGACCAGGATACCATAGAAGCCACCGACATAGAGCTCGACAGCAACATCCAGGTGGGCCATCTCACCCCTCGGCCTCCGGCGAGCTGTTTGGGTTCTCCATCACCGCGTCCCAAGACTGCGTGGCCGTTGGAGACACTGGCTGCTGCGTTGCATTCATCATGATCAGCTGGCTTTGGCCTCGCGCAAGCTCCTGCAGAGAGCTGCTGATCTGGGTCAGAACCTGGCCCAGCTGTGTGTTCTGGACCTGCATGCTCCCCATCGCTTCTTCCACAATGCGGCTTGTGGCTGATGCTGCCGCCGGGGTAGGAGGTCGAGCCTTCCCCTTTGGTGCGCTCATGGTTGTTGATCTCTTTGATGTGTAGGTGATCCGAGCTTGGCATTTCCCGCAAGTTGTCCAGTCTGCGTACTGGTTGGAGCGGGATGTCAACGTTGCCGTGGGATGCAAACACTTCCCCGGCTGCTGGTTGTCCATGAGGAGAAACTTCATGCGTTGTGATGCCGGGCTTTTCGTCCGGGTTTCGGTCAATGCCAACCTCTTGTAGTTGATGCGGTTCTCCTCCAGACGATTTCCCATGCTGTCCATCAACTTCTTCCATCTTCCGGTGGCTGGCATGCCGCTCTCGAGAAGCGACGTCATGGCAGCGTCTAGGACAGCTCAAAGCGAATTGAGTTGAGCAGTTGCTCGAAATGGTGCCCATCGGCCGGATAGTTGTTGGGCCAAGAGGCTGCGCACATTCGCGACGCTCATGCTCATGTTGATCAGATCCATGATGGCATTGATGTGGTTCCTTCTCAAATGAACTAGCTGAACTCAAAAGCACTCTGGAAAAATCATGTTGTGGTGAAATTTTGCTAAAATTGTTGATGTCATTCTGCACGCAAATTTCAAAATCGGCATCAGCACGGCTGTCAGCTGTGACCATGTGAGTGTCTGCAAATTCTTTCATGGCTTTGATGTCACTCTGAAAATAAAGATTGGGCTCATGTTGATGCTGCCCGCTCAAAACGGCAGCTGTTTCTTTTGGATACGCGGAGGAGAGCTTGACATCAAAAGCTCGGTCACACAGCTGGTACTTTTCCTTCAGCTCGGAAGGAACAGGAAAACGCTCGTCATGCTGCCACTGCACCAACTGAATGGTCCTGTGACCGGTGGCCAGTTTCTTCAAAGGCAAAGTGCATTTGAGCCGGTCAAAACGAATGTTGTTGCCAGGCAAATCTATCTTAGACTGCAAAAAATCCAAAAAGCCTACGCTGAGAAGAGGAGGAATGCACCCTTCTAAAATGGTCATCTCCAAAACACCAGGGTGGCCTCCAGGTGAGACCGGAATGAGAACCGTGCCGATGGCCTTGGCAGATCCTCCAATGCCAGAAGGAGTCATCAAAGGAGCCTCCACCCGCACTGCCCTAAGTCCCACTTCTGCGAGACTTTCTTCAAGACGCTTCAAACACTGCACTCCTATGAGGTCTTGAGTGGCCCCGATGTCAATGATGGCCTCGTTCGATGAGAAGGTCAGGAAGTTCCAACTCGCCTCAAACGCCTCAGAGAACTGGCCAAAACACCTGCCAGAGAGAAACGAGAATGCTGCATGTGATGCCGAGGATGAATTTCCGGTATAGGAGAAGGCTGTGAGTGCCACCTTCTTGGAGTCCTTTGACCCTGCGGTGCAATCCTCGGCCCAGTGGCCCTTCTTCAAACAAATGCGACACCGGGAGATCTTCTTCAATTGCTCTCGATTCATCTGGGATCTCCTCGGTCTATTCCCTGTCCCATGAGGCTTCTGCTGGTCAGCCCCTTTGGTGAAGCTGTCACGCTCCTTCTTCAAAGTTGCCTTGAACTCCTTGTTTTGCTTCCAAGTGCGTCGCTTGGTCCTCCTTTCTCTCACGTCCAGTACCGCATAGACTTGGTTGATCTGGTCCTCAGTGAGATCCAGGGGTTCCAACTCCTGGATGATGTCGTCCTCCGCGGACTCTTCTTCGTCCTCTTCCTCGGGATCAAAGAGCTCGTCAGGAGCGGAGGCATAGTTCTCGGAGAGCTCAGGCTGAACAAAGCCGGAGATTCGATCAGAGCGAACGTCCAACCTGCCCAAAGCTCGTGCTACTGCATTGGGATCCTGGTCTTGCCCCGCCAGAAGAGACATCAGGTTCTGCTGGTTCTGCTCATTCAGCCCCGCACCCTCTTTCAGCATGACTGCCTTGAACTCGTCAGGGATGATGACGCCGTAGGAGGATGCATGAGAAAAATCTCTGAGTCTTCGCACTGAGTATTGGGCAAGAGTTTCGTCGCGGCGACGATGGGTTTCTACTATGGCTGCCTTAAAGGCTCTTCTCTTCTCATCATCTTCTCGCACGCCTGCCTTGTTGTTGATGATCTCGATGATGACTTCGAGATAGGCTGAGGAGGCAAGAACTGCCTCTGGGAGATGCTCAAAGTCCGGCTGCAGCTCCCAGCCCAAGGCCCTCAAAACCTTCTCGGACCTTTTCGTCACTGGGATGTCGGAGTTCTTGTTCCAACGCTGAATGGCTTGAATCCAAAAACGTCGATGAGACCAGCCCGGCCAAGACGGCGGGTCGCTGAACTCGCCCTTGTAGCCAGTGTTGCTCCACGGTCCGGTCTCTTGCCAGCTGGAGTTTCTCCACGCTGTGGTGGACCAGTCATGGTCGCGCCTCCCTGAGTCATTCCACCACCAGCTATCCCAGTTCCAGTTTTTTCCCCATGAATGATCACCGCCGGCTGCTGACGCAGTCGCCTCATTCACATGTGAAACTGGTGGTCCAGGAGAGGCAGAGAATGTTGCCTGCTGGTTCATTGTCATCCCTCGTGAAGCCGTAGGAGCCGTCAAGGAAGTAGAGCTAGCTTGAGGAGTAGTGTGCGCAGTCCAATGATCTGCACTGGTCTGCGCCGTTCCTGGTGATGCTGTGGTAGGATTCTGCGGCGTAGCGCTCGTCAGTGAGGTGACGGATGTCGTCGCCATGTGATCGGTCGAAGCACCTGCCGTGTTACCTATCCACGGATCATTTGCCTGCAGAGGATCCACCTGCGGCACAGTGTCCTGATTCATTCCAGCATTCTGAGAGTTATCATCAGTCCACCAACCCTGATTGGATTCCCCAGCATGTTGATTCCACTCACTCCATCCGGGATTCTCATACGCCCCGCTGCTAGGATTAGTCGCTTCATGCTGTGAGGATTGAAAGGGCCCTGATCCACTATCCATGGCTCCGGGTACCAACTGTTGGCCCCAATCACAAACAAGACATGCCTATGCGGACTCTTTCGCTAGGTCAGCGGACGAATCGAATCTTGAGCCATCAGTAAGATGGCGGAATTGTCTTTTGGTCAATTGATATGATGTCATCCTTAGTCATGATTCCACAGTATATCTAAATGTATATATATATATTATACACATATGATATTGCATGTGTATATATAATATAATCATATAATAAATTATATATACTTGTTTCAATACCCAGCCCAAGAGCCACAGGATTTATCAATGCTAACCCCGGATTGATGAGACCCTGGTTTATGAATTGGGGAGTACTTCCGAAATAGTGATAAATCACGCTTAAAATTGGTACGGTATAATAACCCTTTTTGTCATTGTAAACGGATGGTTTGTTACTCCAGCCATCATTACCCTCTGGTAAACTAACATAACTATTGAAAATCACCATTTTGAATGGGTAAATCAACTATTTCAATTGCTATTTTCAATAGCTATGTATGTTAAATTATCAGAGGGTAACATTCAATATCATTCAACCATGATTTGGGACCCCCCCAAACATCCCACAGGTCTTTTACTCAGCTCCGCAGCCTCGTCGTGGATGAGATCGATGCTCCATGGCTGCCAGCCTGGAAGGCATATTAATATGGAAGTAGATCGATGTGTAACGCATGTTCATATTATTATTGTTATTATCATCATTATCATTGTAATATAAATATAAATATATATATATATATATATATCATATATATACATATATAGCACCATGTCCTTGAGCATTCTGCACTCCCAAAATCACATACTGTGGGGGCACAGTACTCTGACTTGGATGTACCCAAGTTTTGCATGTGGTTATATTCGCCATGGTTGTAGTAATTAATTAAGAACTGGGATCAATTCCAGATACATATATATATATAACCTATATAATATCATATTACAGTAGTAAATTATATAATATCTATATATATATATATGTACAGTATACGGTATCAATCACAGACGAAGTGGGCAGCAATGGGCATCACCGAGCAACGATCTTCATAGCGCAGCTCGTGTGGTCCGGGGACACAGCGACCCTCGTCCAGCCACACGCAGTCCTTGTTGCACCAGTTCCTGGGGCGTTTTGAACTGTATTGTCATAGCTGTCATAGATGCCATTTTTGATCCATGTTGCATCATTTCCCCCATCGGAAGCATCTGAAATTGAGAAATCATGAAACCATTGACTCGATGCAAATGATGCAGCCTCGACCATGTTGGGGATTCATGGCTTCACTGCCAGCGTGCTCGTTCCCATGCCCACACCCTCCTTTTGGGATCATTGGCAACTGCAGTCCTACCATTGCCCTGAGGGCACTCAGCACAGTTCTTTGCCTAGGTATCCAGATTCACCCCTTGACTCATTGAGTCAAGGAAGTGCTCACGAAGCACCATATTGCACGAACGTTTGATAATCTGCCAGGATCTAGTTGAAAACACATCCGAAAAGACATTTTCGACCTTAGAACTAGATTCGAAAACCTGTCCGTGGGAAATATATTTTCCTAGAAATGGCTATTGTGCAATTTTTTCTGGGTTCTATGAGTTCTATAAATATGCAATTTCCGCGTGTATTGCATCGGTGCCTCTGGCAGAATGGCGCGTTTTGCCCAGGTGCCCGATGGTTTCCACAATTCACGTCGGACTTTGCCTCGAGCGCTGCCCATGGCTGCAAGCATGGCAGAGACATGTTATCAAGTTTAGATACCCTCTGGCAATCAAACATGACAAGTGAACGTGCATATTTATCTACATGATTCCACTAGTAAAGTTTTAATATGTTTTAATGGGAAGGAACATCATCTATATGTGTGGAAGATGTTCCATTGCCGAGTTTGCTTACCACCTTGGGTAAGTATGCATGTGTAATATCAAAGAGGGATACAGCACGGTCTAATTGCAAAGGACAGCATGTGCACCGTCAGTGAACATGTTAATCATGTGTGCATACACATAATTACACACATATGTATATAAATAACATCCCCCTCTCTGTGTGTATAATATTATACATTCACACACACACATAGACACACATAATATGCAAATGCAAATAAATATGTTGAGTTCCGCGCCAAGGTGTTGCCCAGCGGTAGGCACAGAGGTGAGGCATCTGCGGCAACGTGAACGGCGCCAAGCGGGGCGAGGTGAATGCTCCGGGTGGCAACTTGCAACCCAAGGCCATCCAAGGCCCAAAAGGATCCAAAAGCCAGTTGCAGTTGCAGCAGGCTGCCGGATTGGTGTTTTCAGATGTATATCAAAGATTATCCAAGTCAATGCCCCTTGGGAAAGAACCTTTCCACAACATGATTCATAATCACCTCCCTACACGCTGTGGACATGAAGAAGCTTACCCATTCCGATCCAGCCCCACCCTGCGCCTGCGTTTTTCGCTTCCCACCTGCAACTGCCTTGGCAATGATCTCGGGTGCTGTTGCTACAAGATGCGCCTCAGCCGTCGCATGCCGTTGGATCTCTTGAAAATCACCTGGTAGCGTCACAGGGGATCCGGAATGAATTGAATGAATTAAACAACCAGTGCCTGCATGTGCCTGGTAAAAGAAACACTCGCACAACTTGCTGATACTATGTAGCTGATACTTTAGTTTGAGGAACCAGTTCTTTTCCACACATGGATTTGGTCCATGATGGGGGCCCTCAATTGCAGCCAAGGCAGCAGTCTTTGGCGAAATGGCCGCCACAGTTGACCTGCAAGTGCTGAATTTTGTGTCTGAAAAAATGGTTCCACAATCCAATGATTCATCAGCATTATCATGGCAATTTGAGTGGAAAGACCATTATCGGACACACCCATTTACACTACAGTCGCCGCGCAACTGACTAGCTGCATAGCTCTGGTTAATCCAAAAACCCACAGTGAGGAGCCACATCGATCCCTGGAGACCGACACTCTGGGCGTCACCCAGCCAAGGCACACCCTTTATGGGCCAAATCACGCGAAAGTCTGGAGATCCATCGGCCTTGCTACCTGCGTATCCGGATCTTGGCAATCTAGCTCGAGTGTTCGTCCTCTTCCAAAAGAGCTATGTCGAAGCCCCGCAACGTACTTAGTGACATATACAGCATAGAAGCCAAATGATGCCCAACGTGTGTTGGAAACAAGTGATCAAGAGTAGACCCCAGTGATTCAACCATGATCCATTGGGAACCCACCAAAACATACCAAACCCTAGCCTGACTCGAGATCAGGATAGTTGGGGCAGTTCGAAAAGACCACCTGTCCTGCGGATGTGCCAACTCGGTGCCCCGACAAACCCTCCACTAAACCAACTTGGCCATGGAAAATCCATGTTTTCTGGGAAGGAATTTGCGGGGAAAACAAATTCAAATGCAAGAAATCTCAGCGAACCTGAGTGTACCACATGGTATAACTGGCAATCTATTAGCCAGATTGGGGTGATCAAAGCTCCTGCAGTGAAGGCCGGGTCTTGGTTGATTCGAATCGCCTCAGAGTTACCTTGGCACAGTGATGCTGAAGTCGATGTCTGGATGCTTAAAATGCCCATGGTTCAAAGTCAAACCGGATGTCCCATGATGAAATGATGTTCATTATGCAAACACTAACACACACATACATATAGACATAATCATGTATATATATATACATATCATACTTATGTTTTCAATATATATATATATATTGATAAATCAATACATAAATAAATAAACAAATAAACATAATATATATATATTAATATCGCACAATGTTTTAAACAAACACATTTCTGATGTCAACCATGTTCAATCAACATTTGAGGTGCAGAACCTGTCAGGACCATTCGATGGCAATTGAGTGGAGGTCGTGGTAGGGAGATATGGGGCACTAAGTGCAATCCAAAGGGCTGTAGGTCTCCTCAGTTTCTTGTCACCCATTCTGTTTTTCACACTACCCGGAGCAACTTCTTTGTGGCCATCACAAATACTGAAATAAAGGTCTTCAAAATATCCTTGTGCATGTGTATATATATATATAAGATTATATAAGTGTATACATATATATATAAGTGTACAGTATATATATATATAAGTGTACATACATATATATATATATATACAATTATATACATAAGTGTGTGTGTGTGTGTGCTCATACCTTACCATATCAATTCTCAAACGGAACTCTCTGCTGAAACCCCAGAGCCTCTTGCCGTTCCACCCATCTTGCGCAACTGACCAGCTGCAGGGCATTTTTGGGTTTCAGGATCATCAACTGCCTTTTCAATCTTTTCAATATTTTCACCTTTAAAAAAAACTTGGCTGATGGGTTGAACTTGGAAAAGATGAAACCACCGGCCAGGACAATTATGACAATTCAGTAATCGTCCAATTGTTGCGGGGGCCAACGAAGAGAAAGAACAACTGATTGGCAGTTCATGGCAATTCAACATCGCTCAAAAAAAACAAAAGTTGAACAAAATGAAACCATACGAAACCAATCGAACAAGTGTGGCTCTTGCAACACCAACCATATCCGTTGGCAATTCCCGTGTCCTTTGGCGAACCCCACCATTGCTGGTTGCAATCAATTCCACACCCAGAGTCCACATCGTAGTCGGTGATTTTCACCACATTGACGCCCAACATCAGAGGCGCTGACATGACAGCCTCGGTGATGTGAAGCAGAAAGTTGGGGCCTTCCATCGCATTGCATCTTTATAAAACGAATCACTCACAGTAGATGAATTGGTAGATTGAAGTAATGCAAAAGGTCACTAAATCAATATAATCAATCTAACTCAACTGGACGAATGGAATGTTCAGAATTTGCTTTGGTTTGGGATGAAGTGCTGTGAGATGCGAGGCTTGGCGTTTTTAACTGAGGTCCCAACCCACAAGGAGAACTGAGCTCGTGATTGCGCCTCACACGAAGGCCGAGGCTGAGGCATGTCGTGGCAAAAGTTCATACTATATATATA